GAATCATGGAGACAGCAACCACGACAGGCTAAATTGAGCTGCCATTGTAAATCACATTCTGAAGGATGCAGAGAGCTTGAATCTGAGGAAGCAAAGGCATTCCAGGTACATGACAATTCAGTATTTACATATCATTTTCCTTGTGTTGGCCAGCACACAAAGGCACTTAAAACACAGCTCCTGCCCTAGGCCTTCTAACTGGATTAGGCAAAACAGAACATGAACTGAATGCATTATTCTGTTCCTAGCAATCGCCTGTGCCAACCCTTGGATGCCGCAGCTCTGGGGAAGGGGTCATAACGGCCTAGGCTGAGTCACCACAGTGTGCAACCTGGACCTTCTGCTCCCTGGGGAGCAGGAACCAGGCTCCTGCATGGACCCCGGGAAAGCCTGGCTGTTTTACTAAAAGGAGGGCATTGTTTGAAGAAAAGGTGCATCAGTGAACTGGGAAGGAATCTTCAGAAACTGAGCTGCAGAGGCCTCTGCTGCCTTTCTCCTATTTGAACCAGAAAAATCAGAATTGCAGCAGAACTTCTCAGGCAGAGTTGGTCTAAATTTCCAGCCAGGCCCTGAGGAGAGGGTTAGGAAGCCCTGAGAAAGCTGAGTGCCCTGGAGCTGCTCTCCAAGCTGTGCAGAGCTGCAGGCCAGCCGTGAGGCAGGGGGAGCTGAGCGGGGAGGAAGGGAGCTCCGCAAAGCCAGTAGTGTCTCTCAGGTCAAGGACGAAAGGAGTAGACTGGCAGTCGGGGGCCGGAAGAGGCCTTAGGTCTGCAGCATTGTTACGGGTTATGCTGTTCTGATGGGCTACAGATGTCTGAAAACAGCCTACTGTTAAAGGCAAAGTTGTGAGTATGTTTCTATAGCTTTTCTCAGACTCTTTAAGGACGTCTGAGAGCCATAAGGACCTTCATTAAGGCACATTGTGGACAAGTTTGGAGGCAGATAATTCTAGAGGGAGCAACTTGTTCAGTGAGCCACTTCTCAGATGAGCTCCTGATCATGTAGTGGAGAGGGGGTGACCAGAAGGAGTGGGACAGGACACTGTGGTGGGACGAGAGCCCTGTCCTTCAGCCTTTCACCTGATGCATGCTTGTGAAACCCCTGCTATCTCCAGCACTGTTTAGATTCTGGGATACAATATGAGGTGGGGGAATTAGAGAATGATCATTCCTGACAAGTAGGTTGAAGATTTCCTCACAATCCAGGGAGATTATGACCAAAATCAGGAGTAAAATATTTACTATGTTAGAAAAGAATACATGCTAGGGAAGGTGTGGATGTTACACAGAATAATCAGGAGAAGGTGATGATCTTACTGAGATGATTTTTGAGCAAATATCTGAAGAAATCAAGAGGCTAAGCCATGTGACTACCAGGCACAAGGGGATCCTAGGACAAATGGAAGCGCAGGGCCAGTGAGATAGCTCAGTGGACTAAGTGCCTGCTTTGGCAAGCACAGAGACCAGGGTTCGACCCCCGGCCTGCATAACATGAACGAATCTGGGTGTATTGCTGCACAACTGTAATCCCAGGGCTGGGTAAGCTGAGAACAGGAGGATCACTACAAGTCCAAGCTGTGTAGTGAGACCTTGTACCAAATACATAAACGGAAAAACAGATTTTTAAAAAATGTAAAAAAGGAAGTGCAAAGGCCCCGACAGAAGAGCATACCTCTGATGTTTGAAGGGATTAGTGAAACTGGGTGGAACTAGCATGGTAGAAGTTTCTAGAAAACAAGAATAGATACATAAATGGTGCAGGCTGCCCTGGGTAAGTCAGTACAAGGCTTTTGATTTTTACCCTGAGTAAGAAAGAAAGCTGACAGGTGTTGAGCAGAGGAGTGTCCTGGATGACAGGTTAACAAGCTCACTCTGAATGAATGAAAGCAAGCTAGAGAGAGGAGGGGATGAGAATGGGGAGGCGAGTTTAGGGGCCATGGCTGTGATTTGGACAAGCAAGGATTTCTTCTTAACTTGGTTTGCAGTTGGGAAGCTAGTGAGAATTTGGCAGATTCAAAGCAGAAAAAGTCACAGGAAATTGCATGGAAGGCTTAAAATAGGCAGCTGCAGTATCTCTGTGATTTTTAATATTTGGGGGGCATCCCCTGTTAATATAAGGATGCTTTGCAGGAGGTATGAATCAAAAGTGCCTTTGCCCTAGACCTCACACTACCTATCCTTTTAGATGGGTCATCTATTCTCTTAGGACTGAAGCTTCCTGACTTGTGAACAGGAAGAACAAACATCCTGTTTGCTCAGTGGCTATTGATGGCAAACTGTCATCTTCGAACTCCTTCCAATTCTGGGATCCACGATACTGGTTCAAAGAGTAACTTTAAAAACACCCCAGATGCCCCATTAGAACCATTGCTGCTCTTTGAGCATATAAGCAGTGCTGCGCTCTGATTTCCCCAGCCACGGACTTTCCACCACCTACAGGACTCACGCTTGACTTACTTCATTGGGTGGTGGCCTTGGGGTGGGGTGAGGGAGAAATCCCCAGTGTGGCAAGACAGAGTGAAGCAGCTCACCGCGGCAGACTCGGCCACGCGTTGTAGAAGGCGCAGCTCCTACTGAAAGTACATAGGGAGCGTTTTGACTCAGAACAGGTACATAATTAGGTGGCTTCTGCTACTCTTGTTCAATGCAGGCTTCCTAAAGCCTAGCATGGGGACAGCAGAAAATGTCAGCAGGGCTCCCATCTCATAATTTAGAGTGATAAAGAAGGCCACAGCCAAGTTTATCCAGTCTGCAATAATGTACAGTCAAGCCTTAATACATAAAACCAAAATAGCAGCTTTTTAAAAAGTAAGCATTGTATTTAGGGTATGGGGAATGGTTAATAAAGCTATATATATTGAGCTGTAATGGGACTGTCACTAGTTTTTCATTGTTGAAACAAATCCCCGATGCCCAAAGATAAAGGAGGGAAAGTCCTTTAACTCAGCTTGTAGAGGGTGCAGTTCATAGATGGCTGACTCTAAGGCAGGGTGGCATGGCAGACAGGCATCACAGAGGAGAAATGGTTCATGGTGGGCAGAAGGCAGCAAGGCAAGAATGCAGTGAAGCAGCACAGAAGCAAGCAGCAAGCAAGAACAGCAGCCCTCTTTCTGTCCCTTGTATTCTCCATACCCTTGGGGCAGGTAGCATTTATCGGGAGCTGTCTTTCCAATATCCACACCCAGAACTATGTCACACCAGTGGGCTCATTTAGTAATCACGCATCCTTAATCCCAGCATCGCACACTGTAGATCCAGCCCCCTCTCAAAGAAGCCCCATCTATCGACCACAAGAGGCTTTGGGGGACATCTAGACACAAAGTACAACAAGGACGCCAGTGTTAGAGGTGGCATGGCAGGCCTCCTGGGTTTGGCTGTCCCATTCATATCACTTCTTTTCTCCACATCTGTAGTGGAGGGTCACAGGCCACAGCAGACTGCTGTTCCAGGACCTGGGGTCCACTGCTGAACTCCTCTATCTCAGGAGCTGAGTGAGATAAAGAGAATTTCTTCCTCAGAAGTTTGGGGAGGGGTTGCGGGAACTGATCTCATCAGTCCAGGTCTGGTGCTTTGGGAAAAAGCATAGGAAATCTGGGGCTGGCATAGCAGCACTCGGGACAGGGACAGCACAAGGGACCTGATGGCTGGACAAAAGCAGCCAGGGTTAGAAGAAAAAGAGAGTGAGAAACTGTAGTCCCAGAGAAACTGACTGGATAAGCTCAGTGTCCATGATCAGTTTCCTGCCCTGCCCCTTGTGAAGCTCCCTGGAAGGTTTTGTTGATGGTTTCCTTGAGTAGTTCCTATATCTACCCTGTAAAGCCCTCTTTGTGGTTTTCTATCTTTGCCCATGGCTTCTATCCCTTATAACCATCTAATCCCTGAGCTATATCAATTATGGTTCTATAACAACATGGAGAAATTCTTAAGTTATAAAATAAAATGTATTCAGTTATATATATTCTATATTTATGATCCCAGAAAAAATGTATAAACCTATGAATATTGGTTGAGAAAATAACCATAACAATGTTTTTGATAGTTTAAAACTTTTTTAAAAAATTTATATCAAAATTTTTTGGTATACTTATACTGTTTGAAAGAAATTGCTGGGAAATCAAATCAACTTGGTATTTAACCCATGAAAGCATTCACAAATGACTTCTAAAAATAAGAGACAACAAGTCAATGAATAGCTATCTATTCAGACTCTTATCCTGGAGGTAACTGAAGAGGCGTGTTCCTAAAAATCTGAAGGAAAACAGCGTCTTGTGATCTCACGCATTGCAGTCTTTTGTGTTTATATAAAATGAGGAAAATGTAGAATATGTTCATTGATTTCAGATACTATTTTGCATAGCTTGTTGTTTTGTTTTGGGATTTTTTTCTGAGTCAGGATCTTCCTCTGCTATAGAAATATCACCAAGATTTCTAGAGAGCTTGCACACTTGAGTCATGCAACCCAGAAATGCATGAAAGCAGACTTTGCTGTGTATGTACACTTTTGACTGTCCCTCTTCAGGACTGTAGAGTTTTTTTTTCCCCCTTGTGCAGGTGAGCCTAAGATACAGATCTTGCAATCAGCCTCTCAGGTCTCTCAAGTGCCCTGCCTGAACATATCCACAGAGGTGCCTCAATCAGTGGTATGGGAACCTGGGTTGGCTGGTCCCACCTATGCACTTCACAGGTGATAATGCCTTGGTCCACAAAGGAGAAATGATAGCTTTGAGCATCACAGGCATTTGTTGACCTATGCAAACAACTTATTACCTTTCCAACTGATCTGAGGTTGGCTCTTTGAGGTGACCCAGCAGGGAAGCTAAATGCTCTGGACCTTCTTTTTCTTTCACTCAATGGAGAACTTGACCATGACCATGACTATGGTCATGGTTCTAGAGTTATTCTCTGGTCCTATGATCTTTCAAGGAATAATCACATCTGGAACTGCCTCCTGTTCATCCCTCATAGCTCCAGACATCTGCCCAGGAAAGCCTGCAAGGTCCTTACCTCCAGATGGTGTGCCAGCAACTCTCCTGAGGAATTTAACCCACTCCTCCATCTCTGCCTGGGAACTGGCCATGAGGATATATGAGTCTTGTGCTGCTCGATTCAGATCTCCTGAGGCTGGAGGAAAAAGTGGTACATATGAAAGTCTTGGACTGAAGGGACTGGAGGCAGAGCAAGAGGAAAGGAAGGGAGGCTGAACCTGAACTGATTCCCTGGTTTGATGAAGCACTGCCAGTCAAGTAACACAAGGCCATCATTTAGTGATTCTCAGTGGACTTAGGTATCTATGTACTTTAACAGTACATTGCAGAAGCTCCAATTCTACAAATTATTTATCACAATGGTTTAAATTGGAATAACTTTTTTTTTCCACTTGTGTATTTGGTACAGGGTCTCATTATGCAAATCAGCAAATCAGACTTGGGGTGATCCTACTGTCTTTAGCCTCCCCAGTGCTGGTATGACAGGCATGCACCTCCACGCCTGGACTCTGTCACTGGCTCAGCACCCCCCGGGGGCAGGGCTGGCGCAGCATGCAGGACCCTGTAACTTTTGCTGAGGGCTGCTTCTGTGGATAGAAGCCATTTCTTACCAAAAAGAAGAGGAAGTTCATGGTGCAATTTCAGTATTATGAGGTGACAGAATCTGACATGTAGACTTCCGGTTATCAGGCCAACCATGGATACTATCCTAAGCCAACCCAAGCTCAGTTGCAGGGATTCAGAATGGGAGAGCAGCCCAGTGTGAGAGGAACAATGCATGCAAGTGTGTCTTTCTCACAATATTAGTGTTTCCTGTTCAGATCACTATTCTCCTGACCACAGAAATCCTTGAAAGTGGTAAATTCTCAACATTTAGTTAACGGACATATGAAGCTTATGAGGACTTAGTTTACTACTTTCATTTTAAACTTGGAGGAGAGCTAAAAGATACCCTAGAAGGAAGGGGGGTTAAAAATAAATAAAAGATACCCTAGGAAACACAGCATCACTTTGAACTATAATAGGGAGGTACATTATTTGCATTTTACAGGTAATAGAACTGAGCCAATAGAAGTGTACCATGGTGCAAAGGTACACTTGTCCCATTGTTCTTGTCACTTTTGGAAGCAGCTCTGGAATGTCCCTTCATGCATTTGTTTTCATGGCTGTTGGAATGTGCCAAACAAATTCAAAATGTTTACAGCAATTTCTGTCAAATAAAACATTGCGGTATGCCCTCACCACCTCATTCACTAGATCTGGTGCTGTGAGACTTCTGGTTCCTTCCCCAAGTCAGAATGACCATGAGAGGTACACCAGGGGAGTCAAGACAGCACAACTAAAGATGTGAAGAGATTTCTGGGACAGCTTCAAAGAGTGGCAAGCATGGTGGGGTAGGTGCATCTGAGAGGAATTGATGGTAATGTATCTCTTACTGTAATAACGTTTTAAGTTAAACATTCACCGTATTTTTTAATCACACCTCATACATGACAAACAGGACACAGCACATGCTAAGTGCCTAGCAAGTGGAAGCCATCGTTTTTATTAGGCCCTGTTCCCTCGCACATGACTACCGACTTTTGGCCATCTTCAACCCACCCAAAAGGCAATCTGACATGGTTAAATTTGTATTTTTATGGTCCAACTTGCTTTCTAGACTGAGCTCCTTTGGGTTAGGAAGAGATGACACACTTTTCACATTAATGTCCCAGAGACCTGGCTCCAAGCTTATGAAATGCTTTCAGAGTTAACATGAATGTGCACTTGCTTGGTTCCTGGGCATTACTGGGGTCCTCGATGATAGTTAATCAAGTAGGACAGGTCCACTAAATACACACAGAACCATCATGAGATCCTAACAGATTGATTCATTGGTTGAAGGACTCTCTGAAACCTTGTCTTCCAGGACCCAGAATTAAGATGGGAAAATGTAACACAGCTCTTTCTCATCTCTGGGAATTAATCTGGAATGCACCTACCTGGAATAATTTCAAAGACAAACTTCCCTGCTTCTTCTGGGTTTGTAGCAATCTCTTTGATGGTGCTTCCTGGTAGATACATACAGCCCTGAAAGATTCAAGGTCAGGCTTTTAAGATAAGTAGCATTGCATCACCTACAGACTCAAATTACATTAGAGAACAAGTGGGCAGTAAAGATGTGGTGAAGACAAGGGCTGGTGGGGAGGAACATGGAACCCTGGCAGCTCAGTTTGAATGGGACTCCTCTGCTGCTGCTCATGCATTAGCTAAATAATGTGGCAGCCAGCCGCAAGGAAGCTAGCAGTGTACAGCAAGGATAAGGTCCTGGCAGGACCATTGCCAACACTGGGCCCATCTCACCTTTCCAAGACTCAACTTCATGGTCAAACTAGACTCTTGATCTCAGTAAGGACAACGCTGAGGCCGTACTACTCTCCAGGGAAACTTAACACTGTCCCATTTAAGAGGATAGAGAAACTTAGCAGCAGCAGGAATTCCTGAGAAGCACTGTCCAGGGGCCAGTGCTTTCTCTCACACATGCTTTTTTATCGCACTAGATATTGAATCTACAGCCTCTGAACTAAGCTACATCCTCAACCTCTCTTGTATCCTTATTTTGAGACAATGTCTCCATCCTCAGGCTAGAAGGTTTAATCTTCCTGCCTCGGTCTCCCAGAACACTGAGATTACAGACCTGCACCACTATGCCCAGCTTTAAATGCCTGTTCTTTTATAAACCGCCTTGAATATACTATTCATTTAATTCCTCTAGCAATACTTTAAACAAGGTATTGTTATGCACATTTGTAAGTGAAAAATCCTGAACATCAGGAAGTTTCTGTCATCTGGCCACACAGAACCAGTAGATGGTACAACACTCATTCCACCACAGGAATGAGTTCAGGATTGCTCACATCACAGCTGAGGTGATAGGAAAGATTAGCTTAATTCATCACTCCTACCACTGGATCTAAGCCTAGAGGGAGGATTCAATAAGGTACATGATCTTGTATAACCACATACATTATCAGAAAAGCAGGTGACTTCCTCCACGTGTGTGCATGCTGCTTTATCATTTGCAGTGGACTGGAACATACTATAGCACTTTAGATCTCAGGAACATGGCAAGATTTATTGCTTCTACTTTGCAGGCAAGGAGTTGGTACTTGGAAACTTAATTTTATTGCAGTTAGTCACCCATAATTTACATCTTCCTGGATGATGAAGAGAGCTAAAGAAACTCTTATGCCTTCATTCCAATCTAAGAATGAATGAAGAAGGCAAAGCCCTAATGATAGAGGAGTCTTAAAATCTCATACGTAAGACTGGTTCAAGAGGCTGAAAAATTAATGTTTTTGAGGATCTAAAAATAAAGAGGTCTAAGACCAAGTGACAAAAAGGGAAAGAGGAAGAGAGAGAGAGAGAGTAGAAGAGGTAGAGGAGAAATGGGAGAAAGAAAAAAGAAAAGAAGGGCCAAGGTATAGCTCAGCAGCATAAGCACTTGCCTGGCAAGTGCAAGGTCCCAAGTTCAATCCCTGGCACTGCAAAAAGAATAAAAAGGAGAAAACTCCACCTATAAACTTGAATTCTGCAGTTTCTCAACATTCTTCTAATTTTATTACATAAAAATAATCTCAGTAAGATGCAGTGATGCACACCTGTAATCCCAATAATCAAGAGGCTGAGGCAGGAGGATCATAAATCCAAGAGTATCCTGAGCTACACAATGAGCTTATGACCACCCTCAAATATATAGTGAGGCCCAGTCTCAACAAAACAAAATTTAAAAAAAAATCAGATACCAAAAAACTCTCCCACTACAAAATCCTCACTGCCCTTAGTAAACCATTCCAAAAAAAAGTCACCTTGAGATTGGGCTGCTGCTGGACTATTTTGAATAAATTATGTAGGATGAATTACAGCATGAGAATTAAAGGTCGTGTTACTTTTAGACAGGAAGGAACACTGGTAGGAAGGAAAGGCAGACCAAGCTCAGAAATACCCACCCTCCCTGTGTCATTTGGTACCCAAAAGCATTTCATCAGATAAATAGAAATATATAAAGTCCCTGCTGATTGTCCTAATATATATATATATAGATAGATAGATAGATAGATAGATAGATAGATATATGTATATAGATAGATAGATAGATAGATAGATAGATAGATAGATAGATAGATAGATATTTGCACATTTGATCTCCATCAATCGAAAATCTATGATGGAAAATGATTATTTTTTCCAACTGTAGAAATGAGGGGAAAAAAGGTTTAGAAAGGTTAATTAGCTGGCCCACAATCAGAATTAATTAACAGGAAAGATATGATTCAAGTCTTGGTCTGTATGATTCAGAAGAACAGAGTACAAATAAAGGCGTTACTTACAAACCTCACTGGCTAGAATAAGTCACAATCAGAGCTGAACATACTCCCACCGAGGCCCTCCCCTCGCACTAGGCATGCGCCTGAACATCATCAATGCATGGAGGAAGAGGGGCAAGAGAAACAGACCCCTGTGGGGTGAGGAGCGCGGGTGAGGAAGGAACTGCCACAGATAGGGAAGCACGGAGCTGCCTGTCACTACTCTCACCTACTTTTCAAGTCTACAAGGGTGGGCTCCCTGTGGAGCCCTTGAGAAGGGTTGAAGGCCACGTGTCCTGCAGCCGGGAAGCAGGGGAGGCAGATATGGCAATGATGTCCTACAGCCAGTTCACACTGGTTCATGAGGACAAATTGTTTCATTTTCAGGAATTCTATGAGCCAGCTGCTAAGCACAGTCATTCTTAAACTATGCGAAGCTATGATAAAATATCGTACAGCAAAAAAAGATAATATTCCTTAAAACGGGTCACTTCCTTATTGTTTACTATATTTATTTCTGCTGTGTGGTTCATCACGCTTATTTCCTCCGTCTGGTGGAAATTCTATTTAATGTGCTCTTGCACCTCAACTCTGAAGTCAGTAACATCACGTGATAGCTTGAATCCCTCTTGTTGAGAATAGCTGTGCCGCAGAAATTGACAAATGCTGTACTCAAATCAAGTCTCCATCAGAAAGCCTGCTGTAAGAAGCACACTGTAGGCTAAATTCCACAATTAAAAACATAAGCTGGGGCTGGGGAAATAGCCTGGCAGTCTTAGCACTTGCCTGGCAAGTGCAAGGACCTGGGTTTCATCCCTGGCACCACATCCCCTCACCCCCTCTGACACACTGAGCCGGCCACCAAGACCAACTATGGTGGTGAATGCCTGTAGCCCCAGCACTGTTGAGGCTGAACACAGGAGGATCACTAGGAGTCTGAGCTGGGTAGTGAGACCCTGTACCAAATACATAATTTTTTTAAAAATTAAAAAAATAAAAGTGAAGGACAATGAGTGTGCATTTTTCAAAAAAATGTAACAGCTTCCACCAAGGCTATACAGATTTTCGTTTCTACAAGCTTTGCATGAGAATTTCTGTTTCTTAGTTTTCATATACTAAAATTTTTAAGAAACTTTCCCCAATTTGATTAGGGGCGCCACCGTCTCATTAACTTCCATCGTGTGCTGCTACTCATTACTGAACGTGAACTTCTTACTGCATGTGTTGGACATTTCTTTGGTAAGTTGTCCGTTTGTGTCATTGCTCATTTTTCTATTGAGCAAAATCTTCTTGTGCCTCTGGAAAAACATTAAGTCTTAAGGGTATTTGTTTACCTAATACACATTTTTTTCTCATTTACTACTTGAACTCATTTTATTACCCTGATTTTGTGTGTGTGTGTGTCTTTTTAAAAAAAAAATGTATTTAGTACAGGGTCTACAGGGTCTCACTACACAGATAGGACTCGTAGTGATCCTCCTGTTTTCAGCCTCCCAAGCTCTGGAATTACAGACATGCACCACCACACCCGGTCTCAGTTGCCATTTCAGTGTGCCCCGGGGGCGGGGCTGGCACGGCATGCTGGGGATCGAACCCTGGCCGCTGCTCTCTGCCTAAGCAGGTGCTTTAGTCCACTGAGCTATCTGGCCAGCCCTTAAAAATGTATTTTTAAAGTACATTTTTATTTATGAAATTAAATTGGTCCCTTCTTTGTGAAGTCTTTGTTGTGCTTTTAAAAATCAGCTTCTCAACACTGAGAGATGGGAAGGGATCTGAGGATGCGGGGAAGCATGGGAGATGAGGAGAGGAAGAGGAGGAGTGAAATGGTGAGGGAGCGATGTGTGTGTGTGTACAGCTCCCCACAGCAAATGTAATTATGTATTGAAAATATACACTAATGCAAAAGACACTAAAACACAAATCACACAGCAATATTTTCTTCTGGTATTTTTATGAATTCACTTTTTACGTTTAATTCTCTAAATTTTCAGAATCTTGAATGGCATGAAATCTAATGTGGAAATGTACCTTTGCCATTTCTCAAATTTTTATCTCAATTCTGTAACTTTCATTTTTATTTCTAGGTATTTTCACATAGTTTCAACAGTGGGCTGTGTGTGTGTGAGTGTGTGTGTGTATGTGTGTGTGTGTGTGTGTGTGTGGTGGTACCAGGAATCGAACTCAGTACCTCACATTTGCCAGGCAGTCGCTGGGCTGCTGAACTATGTCACCAGCCCTTTCTAGGTATTTTCAGTGTCTTGGAAACAAATGTTCAATGACAATAAAGTTAACAGTATTTTATTTTAAATAGATTTAGGATTTTTTTCTTTACCTTAATGAAATAACGACAATGAGTTCTATAAGGATAGTTGCACAATTCTGATTTGTGATAATAATACATAAACATCAACCCACATTTCCAATAGTAAAAAAAAATACATGTTTTATGCTGTTACTATTATTTACATTATAAAATAATATTTAATATTAAGGGACAACATTTATGATACATTTATTTTAGTTAAGTAAATAATTCTGATTATGTATGTATTTATAACAGATGACCTTATAAATATCTATGTATAAGAAAGCTGGATTTATAGGGCTATTTACTGCTGATGGGATTGTGAATGATTTTGTTTTTACTTTGTGCTTTTCTGAATTCTCTAAACTTATTACCATGTACATGTATATCCTTTGCAGTCAAAATATACATATCAGCACACAGTAAAATATACTTACTCTTTCTAAGGAAATACTGTATTCTTAACAGCCTATTTTGTATATTTGAGAGGTCCTGTGGTTTTTCATAGTTGGCCTATTGATCTGACATATATTAATTTATGTATTTGGTACAGGGTCTCCCTACGCAGCTTGGACTCATAGTGATCCTCCTATGTCACCCTCCCCAGCCCTGGGATCACAGGTGTGCGCCACCATGCCTGGTTTCAGGGAGCGGCTTAGTTGGCCTGAGGCAGGGCCAACACAGCATGTGGTCCCAGGGATTGAACCCTAGTCCTTGTGCTTGCCAGGCAGGCGCTTAGTTTGTTGGGCCATCTGCCTGACCCCTGATATATTGTTCGATTTGTTAAAACTAAATCATTCGTGTGACCTCAGAAGAAGCTTCCTCTAAGTATCCCAGACTATTTTAATCCTTAGAAGGCTTTGGGTTCCTCTTCCTAGAAATGTGAAAAGAAGCAATCCCTTCAACTATTTATTTTACCACCTGGTATTAATTAATGTTTTTATGAAACAACTTTTTATACATGCTTCCTATCATTGAATCATGGAATGAATGCAGACTGGGTGGTATAGTCTCACTTGATAAAAGAAAGAAGAAGGGTATAGAAGTAATTACACAGCCAGACAGTGGTGGAGCTAGGAAAAATTAAAGACCTGTAATCCCCTGCACCATGTGAACCATCATCATCATCAACGTGTGATGCCAAAGCACTGCTCTCCACGGGTGAAAGCCTTCCTGCTTCATCACTGCCTTCATTGACAGTGACGTGGCCCTGATAACGTCTGTGTTGTTCATAAAGAAAAGGAAGTCTGTTTACCACACAGAACATCAGCAAAAGCCCAGGCTGTATACGAACCCTAAGACCTTTCTTAGCCTCCACAGTGACAGGTAGGCAGGAGGCAGGCCCTCAAGTGGGAGGCATGGTTAACCAAGTGCTTCTGTTGTGTCAGGTGTCCTCAAACCTGCCTTTAAAGGAGAGCTGCCCTCTGCCAGCTGACTGTTTCACTTGTCCTCCATCACCTGCCCACCCACCCCAAACCCACACATTTCTTACTCTCACCATTCTTGTTTTATTTATTTTTTTTCTAGCTCCAGAATCTGTCTTCAGCCAGTGAGATAGCTCAGTAGAATAAGCACTTGCCTAGAATCTATCTTCCCTAACATCTTCTTTCTGGCCAATCTTACCTTTCTATATCCCCACAAACAGGATCATGAAGTGGTGTTCAGCCATCCCAGCTTTCCACAGCATCCAGCTTATTCTTAGGATCCCAGGGCTATTGCTAACAGTGACTTCTCTTACTCCTGCTCACCACAGTGGGCATAAAGAATTCACGAGGTGGGGAGAAGAGACCTAGGCCCAAGATCCATGTCAAAGCCCGCTCTCCCAGCCTCATTATTCCATCAGGAAGTTGGATCTGCTCTATTTTAAGTATATCTAGAACCTGACTATTTTGTCACTAGTTTGCAACTCTACTGAGGTTCTAAACTCATAATGTCTTACCTAGCTTACCTGGGTGTCCCTGCCCAGGCCCCTGTTTATTTTGGAATGTAGTGTTGAGAGCTATCTTTTTAGAACATAAGCTAAAGGATGCCACCTCTCTGCTTGGAGTCCTGTCATGCCTCCCCGGTTACTGCAGATGTTCAAGTCACTGTGGTGACCCACAGTGCCCTTCACAATGTGTGCCCCAGCCACTCCCCTCACTTGTCTGACCTCAACCTCTCTGGCTCTCATTCTCTAGCTTTGTCCACCACACTGGCCTGTGTCTGCTTCTCCCCTTAGAAATCTCCCAGAAATCCACCTAGGTAACTCCCTCCCTTCCTTAGTTTTTGCACAAATATCACCTTGCTTAGGAGGCCACTCTGACTATCCTATGTAAAAATTACCAACACTTTCCCCAAACACTTAGCCTACCCTGTGCCATTCTGATTTTTTTTCTTCATGGAGCTAATCTTCTTTTCTAAGAAGCTATATATTTTCCATATTCATTATATTTATTTCCTACCCTCCCTCCATATGCTAAATTCTGTATGGCAGAGATGTTTCACCTGTTTTTCTCACTGATTTATTTCAAGCACCTAGAACAGTCTGTCATTAGAACAGTTATGTATGTTGTTTTATGTGCAGAAAAAAACTAAATGCTTTTTATTAAGAAAAAAATCAGGGGCTGGGGAGATGGCTCAGTGGAATAAGTGCTTCCCTGGCAAGTGCAAGGGCATGAATTCAATCTCTGGTTCCACAAAAAAAAAAAAAAAAAAAGGAAAAAAATCAAAGAGCACCAGGCCCTGGAGCCCACATGCACTCTCCCTGACTCCGAGTCTCTGCCATATTGCACACCTGAATTTGGGCTACACTTAGGAGGCTCCACAGCACCCACCTTGCGGACGACCTCTCTGCCACCTTTGCCACTTGGTTTGTGTCTCGACAACAGTAGGAAAACAAAAGCAGCTTTTGCACATACGGATGTGCCTCGTTCCCCGGAGAGGACTTGTAAGAGTGCAAGTGCAGCCCGCCTGTGCTGGGCCCCAACGGACACAGCCATTCTAATGGAACTAAATGCCCAGCTGGTACCTGTGGCTTCGAGTCCTCTTCGTCCTTGTAATAGTAGAGCTGCTGCGCCTTCAGCACGAAGTACCTCTGCTGCCAGTTCTTCACAATGGACCGCTGCTTCTTCAGCCAGCCCATCTTGATGGGCCTCTCCAGAGGGTTAGGGGCAGATGGTGCGTGGAAGCTCGCCATCTGCTCGCTGGTCATCACGCTCCTGGACCGAGCTACAGAGAGGAACAGAGTGGCAGGCTGACTGAGGGACACAAGGCAATGAGCAGGAGAGCAGGAGATGAGAGAGGAAGCCCCAAGGGGGCCAGAGCAGTGAGGAAGGCCTCAGGCAGGTCCGCTGAGGGGGTCCACCTCTGCATCAGAGAAAATCCCCTCTGACTCTGACAGGAGCCGAGGGGCCTGCCAGCTGCTGATCAGACCCAGACCAGGGCTCGTACAGTCCGGCAGCTGCTGCCGGCCCCCGCATGCTGCAAAGTGAAAGATTGGCTGGAGCCTTCTGAAGAGGAAGTGGCCACAGCATCTGACAAAAGGTGCTTCCTTTTCCTGCGTGGGAGTCAGTATCTGACAAGAGAGAGGAGAAAATAATGCCTCGTTTTCTAAGGGTTGAGGGTGAGCCCTATGCAGCTGCAGAGGCCACCGGAAGCCGCCTGGGCATTGGTCCATTCAGAGGAGGTGCCAGTGAGTTAGCTTGGAGCTCACTGTCCAATAGCAGCTTCTGCAGCAGACCCTACTAACCACAAGACCAGGCTACGGGGAGTTGGCACCGCCTGAACTTTCCTGCCACATGTCTAGTGCCCTTTTGCCCTCTTCCCATTGACAGTTTACACTAGACCAAGGGCCTTTGGACAGTGCCTGTGACCTTTCCAGTCAGGTTGTCAGTGGCACTAGACCTCTGAAGCAGGACTTGAAGCCAGACCCTTCCATGCACTGTGTGCTGTCACTGGCTTTCGTTTTCCCACGGAGTTGTGCTTGTCACTTGAGTCCTGATCGGTGCCTCTACATCCTGTGTCCTAGTGACTCCTACCAAGGATAACTGTCCCCTGAATATCCACAGCTACCCATCAACCCATCCTAGTTTCCATTCGACGTTTCCTTCAGATGCCACCTTCTCTCTTTTCCAGGCAGTTCAACAAGGACTCTAAAACTGTGTTAGAGCTCCTTGGCTCTTGATTTTGAGCTGATTGCTCACATTTGCTAATGGCTAAAGTTGTCTTTTCTCTCCTCCTGCTGGAAATCCCTTTATTTGGTGTTTTATTGATCTTGAGGACATTCATAACATGGCTGAGCTAAACCATTAACTTCATTCTGACTCCATTTTTTCCCCACCTGAGTAGGCCATTTCCCTTCCTTTCTTCTTGGCCATGAATCAACTATACGTTTCCCAGCCTCAGCTGCTTTACTTGTTAAACCAGGAAAATCATAGTCTACTTATACGGAATTTGAAGATTAAATGAACATACACAAATCATCATAGTGTTTGCTCAGAAGTAACCATACTCTACTTTTATTTTTATCAATAAGTTATTTTACTTCCTATTACATGGAAGGAGAGTGTCCTTAAAGGATTCTTCAACTTTCACTTCAAAATATCCTTTATCCACTTTCCTTTCTTCATTTCTATCTTTCAGGTATTTAATCCCTGACTCCTCCCCCACTGCTTTTGATTCCTCTTCAATTCCTTCTAGGCCTGTGACTTTCAGCCTTTATTCATGCTCATGGCAAGCTTTGAATACTAGAATTTAATATAAATTCTTTCTTTCACTGACTCCAACTCAATCCAGAACTATCATCTTCCTCAGTGTTCTACCCTTCTATCCTATAGTGCTGTCTGAAGAGAACTCTGCCCTACCTGGGCTCCCTTGACCTTATAGGTGTTCTGTGTCCCTATAACATACACTTACACCTGGGTTCCAGCTGGTAGTCACTCTTTCCTTCTTACCAGGGGCCGGGAGCGTTTCCAAAATATGCTCGAAGCTATGCCCTGTTGGTGAACATTATCACAAAAGCACATACGCTCGATTATGATTTTTAAAGGTTTTCATATTTTAATGAAAAATGGGCAGCATGATTGAAAAGGGCTTACTTTATAACAGTAGATCTTGGCACTCCAATTAAGAACTTTATTTTGGATCTTGCTCGGTGGCTACTCACTACGTTCAAGGCCTTTCACTGGGGCTGATCACTTACTCTAAAACTATACAAATGATCCAAAGACACCACTAGGAGGGCAGGAGGGTATTTGAAGGACTGTATACATCTCTGTATCTGTGGAGGTCAGAGAATATTCCTTGCAAACATTTTTATCTCTTCTGGAAAAACAGCTTGTAGACACAGAAGTGAGAAATGTAGTTCACACAAGCCCTCTGGAGGTTGTGGAAGAGTGAGGCAGTCAGATCTTCTTGGCTACCATAGTAGCCTCAGTGTGACACATTTTATGAGACTTTGTGACTATTCACCCAAAGCAGTGTGAGACATGGGAGTGGGGCTCCTTTGTAGGAGTATAAAAAGGAACCTTCCTATGACTCTGGGCTGATGGCACCAAATGATGACAACATAGGAGAGGTGCCCATGCAGCCATATGGTGGCTGTGAGAACCCAGGCTCCTTGACTCACTCCCAGAATCCCACAGACCTTGTTAGGGCCACAACGGGAGACAAGAGAAATGGAGGTCTGCAGTGTTGTGACAGAAGGGCAGGGGTTAGGAGGAACCAGCAAGGTACTACAGATTGAAGATAATTCACTCAAAATAGAACTCAGTGGCTAGGGTATACAGCTTTGTGCTTAATTCTGGGAAATTTTTCATGCTTTGTCATGGCAAGACAAAAATAACCCAAAAACACCTCTGCTAGAAGCACCTACGCATTGCAGAATGACCTGTCAAGAGCAAGAGTAGTCTTGAGGAGACCCTGTGTTCTTAGACCTGAGGAGGAAGTGGTTGGATAATCTCAAGACAGGAAAGCAAGCACCTATCTGTCTACAAGGCCTTACCTAACTTTATTTTATAATCAACAGTGATGCTGCTTACCATATATCCACCAGTATTTCTTGGGTGCTTGTTTTCTTTTCCCCATAACTGATGTGAGCATGGGCTCAGGGATATGTTTCAAGTTAGAAGCTGTAAATCAAACCTCTACACTGCTGGAATTTAATCCTAACAAGGGATTGTAGGTTGGACACTGGGGGCTCATTGAGTCAATGACTGAGCAGGAGATCTTACGTCTGCTATGCAGAGGGGTCTCCCGTCTTAACCCCCAGTATGGTTTAACAGCCAGGCTTTTCAGAAAAGAAACCTTGGTGGGCCTTGGTTTTGACTAACTTTGTTCAATTTCTTAGAACAATTGCTCTTCTTTTTGGGTGTGACCCATTCCAGGATGAAATAAACAAAGAGACCTGTTACTATTAATGGAGGCTTTCTCATAAAGAAAATAATAGCCGTGATAAGCTTTGCGTGTGAGCCAGTCTCTGTACTCACAGTTCGTGTTCTCAGCATCTCTGGAAGGCCTGAGCCACACATGGGCTGCTGAGAAGGCTGCACAGGGACCAGGGAGGCAATTTAAGAAAGCATTTGCTCAGTGTTTACAACACGCTCTGGAACAAGTAGGAAACAAAGGTTCTAGTGAGGCCAGAAATCCTTTATCACTCTAGCAAACAGAAAGAACAAGCCCCTAGCTAGCACTGTGCTGTCCCAGACACCAACTGCCAAGAGTGGCTGTGCACAGAGAAATGAATTAAAATAAGTGAGGCTAAATGCATTTCTTCACTCACACCCGTCATCTTTCAAGGGTCATGGCTGTCATAGAGAGAGTTTTCCAGCATCCCAGAAGATTCTGCTGGGCAGCATGTCTTAGAATCTGAGTGCTTTCATTACAAACTATGGAATGAAATGGGCCATGAGGGCAGGATAGCATTTTACCCAGTAGACCAGAAGGCACAGAAATCAAGTAGCTCTAAGTGGAAGAGTGAGACTTTAGCCTTGACCTGAGAGGCCACCAAGAACCAGTTCGTGTTTCTGAGCAAGGGAGGACCATAGGAAAACACAGATGAGTTATGTAACCACACTGCTCAGGCTAAATATGAGGAAGGGTAGCACAAAGGAGAGAAGTTGAAAAAGCACCACATCCTCAGGGATGGTATTTTTGCAAATGAAGTTAGCTGCTTTGTGTCACAAGTTAGAACAAGAGAAAATTAAAGAGGGAAGTGTGAACAGAAGACACTGTCACTTCCTTTCTTTATCTTCCCATCATCTAATACCTGGCCCAGAAAATAATCACAAAGCCTTCTAAGGTCTGCCTCTGAGGCTTTTCGTCTATCTGCTCTCAGCCTGCCTTATTACGTCTTCTACAGTATTTCAGGGGGCCATGGCTGCTTGGCTGAGTGGCTCCTTCCCAGGTGAGGGTCTATTGCAGATTTTTCTGATTGAGCTGATGGGAGCTGTGCATGAGTTTGGGAGCCACATTTGAATAAATTTGAAAAAGAATGAAATTCAGGTAGCTCCAACCCAGACCTCTCTCCAGGGGTGTGCACCCTTCTATCTGGCTGCTTTTTGGACCCAGGGAGATTCTCAGGCTCATCACTTCCTTCAGCACAGTCCTGCTTCTCACCTCCTACCATCCCATCTTGTATTGAGGAATGCCTCAGCCTGCTTCCCATCCCGTGTTCCTCTGTCTCTGTGGTGTGCCATGAGCGGCATCTTCCCAGCTGATCAAGCAACCTAGGACACTGCCCCTCCCTACAGTCAGCACAGACATTGTTTACAGTGCAGTTCCTCTAGAACACAAACTCAAGTTCCTCTCCTGCCTAGGCCTCTGATGACTCCCCCATGGCCCTCTTAAAAGACACAGCGTAACCCCCTGCTGTGGAATCTGGATTCTTATGGATTTTCTCTACCATTTTCATTTCCTGCTTTTCCTCACCTCCCACCCTGCACCTTCCCCAGGAAGATAATGCTATTCCTGTGGCCGGCCACTCATATCCACCCTCCAAGACTCATTTCAGGCCGTGGCTCTGTGAGAGGCCTTCTTGGCCCAGTCACTGCCTCTCCCTACCTCAGCTTCCTCTTCCCTGGGAACACATGTACACTGTGGCACTCCTCACTATGCCTGGCTTTTCCGCCCTACCTTGTCCTCCTTTCTATCTGCAGCCTAGAGAGATGACAGAATAGTGCTCTGATGCCTGGGCCTTGCTCATCCTTATCTCTGGGGCCTACCTGAAGGGA